TGAGGGTAGTTACTCTGATCCTGACATGGACGTCAATAATGTCCAAAATGTTGTCCCGACCAATTAGTTATTTAACATTGTGATTCTTGTATTTTACATGTTGTATTCATGTGTTAGTTGAATGTGATAGAGTGTTAGTGTGTATAGGTTAATCTAATACTTCATTCTGGAATACTAGTCCGCACTATACTTATATTAATTGGGAACACTCAGATCAAGAACCAATTGTTGTTGGGGGGAATAATGGTTCTTGGCAATTGGGGGATGAATTATATGTTAATCAAGAATTTAAGAGCAAGGAAGCGATACAGAAGGAAATCAAATGTTATTGTATAAGAATTATCATACTGTTTTTGTGAAGGAAAGCCAAAAAAGTAAACTGCATATGAAAGGTTGTGGAAGGGTAGTTGGAAATGAAAGGGGTGTGAAAGAATTACCATACTGCTTTTGTGGAAGAATAATGTGTCAAACCTCTCTTAATACCAAGGTAGATCATTAAAGGTTGTCTTATGTCTGATCCCTCCACAAAAAATTTCATATAAACAATAAATATCACATAATAGATATAACAATCAAACATGACATATTGCTTTAACATACCTTACACCAACAAGTGTGGTATTATCGAATTATGGGATATGTGGAATAATCTCTGGAGCAATGGTCAGAAACCTAGCCCAAGCCCACACTGCATCGGATATTTCAATATGATCAGGTGTTGTGGCAATGCACAGCTCCCGATAAAAGAAGGCCAACATCGTCGATCCCCAGCTATATTGTCTACATGCATCCAAGTCACTAAGAAATTAGGGGTGTGCATGTTCAGTTCAATTTCTTTGCCTAATCGAACTGAATTGGAAAAAACAATCCAATTCTTAGAAGTGAATTGGTTTCTTAGTCCAATTCAGTGCGGAACTCGTTCATGATCAGTTCGGTTCAATTCAAAATCGGTTCTGAATTAGTTTTTAAAATTAATTTTTGAATCCAAATAAAAATTATAAAAAGATTGAAAGAAATATATATATTTATAAATAAATAATATTGAAATTAAAAAAAAAATTAAATAAGAAATAAAAATAAATAAGAGAAAAAAAAATAACCAGGTACTAACCTTTATTTGGATTGAGGAATGTGCAGATGATAATTAATATATAGAGATTGGTTTGTGAAGAAATTTTGGTGTGAGAGAATAAGAGAAGAATGAATTATGAATGAATGAGTAAGGAGAGAATGAATTATGAATGGATGGTTATTTATAAGGTAAAGAAAAGGACTTTGATAGCTGGGATTGTGTCATGTGGTATGTTGTCCAAGTTCCTCGTAGGGCCGAACTTACTTTAAAAAAAAAAATCCCCAGAAAAGGGGGCGAAACTCCTTTGAAGGAATTTCAAATTCAAAGAAAAAAAAATAAACTTGTTCCGCAAAGGACGGATCTCAAACCTCACGGGCCTCCCACGACACCAAAAACTCCTCAAATGTAAAATGTATCAACCCAATACCAAATCGGGATATTAAGGGGTTAAAGACCCCAAATGGTTCAAAGAGAATTATTTATGCCGTGTTAATTTATATGTAATATTATGTCCTCATACATCTAACCATGTAAAAATGTTAAAAAATGAAATTGCAGTTTTTTCATGGATGTGGCATACTATGTGGAAGGCTCTAGCGAAAGGTGCAAGCTGTCATAAATTGTTTCATGATACATTTCTTCAAACAAAAAATATTTCTGGTTAGATTGTTTTGACATTATTTTTGCATGTTTTGTTCATGTTCAGAATGGAAGGGGATTGAAAAACTTTGGAGGAAAAAGGAAATGCATAAGTTAGCAGAGGAACTTGTTTACTTGTTAGCAAAGAAAGATATTTCATGGCAAAACAGTTGTATAGCAAGGGATAGAACAGTTTCCATGGGGAGATCACATCATGCAGCCAATGAACCCCAAGAAAAGCAACAAGCAGAGAAACAAGAAGCTCCTGACAAACCTATTATTTATACCCCCTTGCTTATGGCTGCTTGCAGTGGAATTACAGAGATTGTTGAAGTAATAATTCATTTGCATCCTCAGTCAATTGAGCATGTTAGTGAAGACGAGCAGAACATACTGTATATGGCTGTCAAATACCGCCAGATAGAAATTTTCCGAATCTTAAAGAAATTGAAAATGGTTAGAAGTCTTGCTGGAAAAATAGACAAGGAAAGTAACACTGTCCTACACTACACTGCAGATTTTAAAGGTGGATCCCAACCTGGTTATGCTCTGCAACTGCAAGAGGAGTTGCATTGGTTCGACGTAAGTATGGTTTTGAATTTTTTATTATGTCAAAATCAGAAATAATATTTATGGGAATTATCATCTCATGTCTTATTTTAATACGATGGAGTCACGTGGGAAGATTTCGTTTATCCATGAATTTTAAGGTTTTTTCATCTTTTTACACCTTGTTAATTATTTAATAATCATTTTGTCCCTTATTGCAAACTATCGACTGATATGTCCCTCTTTAATCGATTAAATTGAATATTTAATCGATTAAATGTATTGAATATTTAATCGATTAAATGGTCAAATGAAGATTTAATCGATTAAATCTTCAACTTAATCGATTAAATCTTCCTCTTTATCAGAAAAACAACCTTATGCATGGGAGATTTAATCGATTAAATAGGGAGATTTAATCGACTAAATCTTCAAGTCAACAATTTTTGCCTATTTTCACCATTTAATCAATTAAATTTTTGGTTTAATCGATTAAAGAGGGACAGATTGATAGATAGTTCTAAATAAGAAGCAAAATGGTTATTAAATAATTAATGAGGGACAAAATGGTAAAAAACCCTGAATTTTTTATGACAAATCAACATTGTACCACATTAAGGCTATATAAATTTTGTTTAGCCTTAATGACAAATCCATAATTTTTAATTTCTAACCATTGATTATGTCATTAGCTATCCAATAATTTATGCATTGAAAATTTTGAGCATATAGCAAAAGTAAAGATATGAAAGAGAAAAACAAGATTGACCTTGCTGGCACATACATATATTATACTTCTCTAATTGATGCCTAGGACCACGTATCTAACTCTCAACTCTATCTTTGTATCCATATTGTGTATGCATAAACAGCGCATAGAGAAGAGACTCCCTTATCATTACACCATTCACTACAACAAGAACAACCAAACAGCTGAGCAACTTTTTGTGGAAAAGCATGGACAACTGCTCAAGGATGCTCGAGAATGGATAAAAGAGACTGCTCAATCATGTTCTGCAGTGGCTGTGCTTGTTGCCACTGTTGTCTTTGCAGCTGCATACACTGTCCCTGGAGGCACAGATGACAATGGCCTCCCTAGATTTCTTCATCATCCTATATTCTTAGTGTTCACAGTGATGGATGTGGTGTCCCTTGCAAGTTCATTGGCTTCGGTGGTTATGTTCCTCTCAATCCTCACATCACCCTGTGAGTTGTGGGATTTTCGGAGGTCTCTACCTCGGAAACTAATGGCAGGATTTGCCTTGCTGTTCTTCTCCATGACCACCACCATGCTGGCATTTAGTGCAACAGTTTTGATCAACATCAAGTTGGAGAAGAACAAATGGACTTCAACCTTAACATATAGTGCAGCTTTCTTCCCTGTCAGTGTATTTGCAATGATGCAGTTCCCTTTATATATTGCCATGAAAGGATGTATGCGGGGCCTCCTTAAGGGACTTAAGAAGATCATTCCTCGTTTCTTCCTCAAACTGGTCAAAAGGAGTAAGAAAAAGAAATTATGGGACTTTTGAATTGATAGCTGTCTTTGTCTAGTCCCCCACCCCCCATATTTTTATTTTGACACTTTTTCTTCAACCATGATTTCTTTTGGTCGTGTGTGTTTGGCTATAACATTTTACTTTTTTCAAGGTCGTCCACACAGGATGATTGTATAGGCTATTTGTGGTAAAATAACCATTGGACATGGACATTGATGAATAAGAGCATACCTTACCTTTTCTCTATATGGTACGTTTTTGTTGTGATGCAATGTTGAACTGAACCATTCAATGGACTATCAAACTCCCCCGATCCCTCCTCCTTGAAATCCCCAACAGCTACAGTTGGAAATCTGCTAATCTCTAATGTTTAAAACGTAAAAAAATTATGCTCATTGTTTCTTCACAAACTTCAATCCACTAGTTGGTTTATTCAAGTTTGTTTAAACTCTGACGTAGATTCCCAAGGTTTGTGTTTTGATTGCAACAACTCAAATCTAGACATCGGGATCATTAAGATTACAGAAAGGGACAAAGATCCATGATGTTCAAATCAGCTTGATTGAAGTCCAAATAATACTCGGGGTTTAAAAAGCCGATTTTAGGCACCATGTGATACTGACTGAAAACTCAACACTGTATGAAGGGTGAAAATAAAGTAATATCTCATTCTAGTCTTACGAGAGTGCTTCGAGTATCACTATTCCAGTACAAATTCCATGAACTATATATATTAGAAAGGCTAACTCTAATTCAAATATGCACTCATTTTGTAGTTTATGAAAAAGGGACCAGTCATCCTATATCTATACAAGCAGCATATTTTTGCTGACATGGTCTTGCAGGCTACAAATATGCTACAATATTCGTTATGCCATATGATTTGATCTCGCGTTTTGTTATGTTAAAATGTGCCGTACACGTTATGAAACAGTGCCAGGTGTGGTTTAGCAGACAGGGAAATTGGCACACATCTTCATCCACTTACCTATGCATAATAAATTTGAAAATAATTTTTAAAATTTTATTTATCTTCATTTCATTAACTTGATTAAATATAAAAACTTCCATAATATAAATTTTAAATAAAAAATAAAAAGTAATATAGTTGATAAATTCTTGTTGGTATGGCCATTAATATAGTTGCGGAACCTTTTTAAGTCTCATTGTATCATCAATTAATTATATGACAACTCTAGTCCACGGTGTAGCCAAATTAAATTAACCTTAAAACAGGTCACCAATCATCCTCCATTTACAATATATTTACATTGACAAATAATGACACGAGGAACCTTTACAATATGAGTGCAACTCAGCTGTACAAATTATTGAAAGGTGCAATAATTCTTTTCCATAATGCCAATGTCCGAAAAGAGAAAGGAAGGAAATACAATGTTGAACCATTCAATTAACCGTCAAGCTTCGCATACAAATCTGCAAGAGCACGGTAGAGAATGGCAGCAGCAGGTGGCCTAGGCAACGAGCCAAGAAGTATATCTGTTGCAGTTATAGATTGACTGCCATAGAAACGGGAATTTTCTTGTGTGCGAGTGGTCACAATACTGCTTTCAAGTGAACATCCAACAAATGCACCTGCAAGTAATCGAGCGGTCAAACACTATCCTACAGGAGTTACTGCAACCTCCCCAAGCAAATACACACAAATAGACTCAAGTCATCTAAGCCAAAAACTCAAATAGAAGAAAGAACCAAGAAGTTCAATTCCAGAATTTAAGTGCTACATTATTAACTTTCTAGCATTACTCTGAGAAGTTTATGAGCTGATCTGGCATTTAAAATTTTCAATTGCAGCAGGCTTGTTCACTGTTACCAGTTTTCGGTGTATCTTGCTAAATGAGAATCGGTCAAGTCCATATCAGCCTTCTATGGGTTCCATATTGAAGTCGATTTTAACCATCACATGACACTGAAACCTGAAGACTCTATGGAGAGGAAGGATATCTAAAAAAATAGAAGGGAGAACACTTTGCTGGTTTGCTCTGATATTTTCCTGTAACAAGCATTTATAATTAAGAAGTTGAGCTACACCAATGGCAGATGGGATTTAGCAGTCAAAGTCTCAGATTAGGCATTCCTCTCCTCTCTTCCACCCTCAAGAAAACCTTCAACGGAACTATGCACACTTAAGAGGGGAACACACACACATACACACACACACACACACCCACACACATATATAAGAGACGATGATAATATCTTGCATCACTAAAATTTTCATGAATGGTATTGCAATAATTTACAACCACTCCGGTTCAAATATGTATTCTTGGTAGTTCATTGAAAACAAATCAGTCATTCGATCCTATAGGTAGACTAGAGAGTATATTGCACTACCAGACTAAGAAATATTTATGTTGAATTAGCAAAGAAAAGGTCAAATAAAATACTGATACCAAGAACAAGGAGAGTTTCAGTACACTAGATGATCAAAAACAAGAAACAGACCTTTACTGCAGCTGTATGTATAACAAGCAGCATAGCCACCATCACCAGCTCGAACATCAGCTTCAACTGACCTTCCAACAATGCCAACTGCAGCACTCAAACCAGCTCCAAGTGAAAGATGCACATTACCACTAAATGTATTGACAGCCTCATTTGTTCTCAGAACAATAAGGAAGTCTGTTAACTCTCCTCCAGCCTATGTGGTGAAAAAAATAAGCAACACTTCAGAAGATATGAAAATAAATGGGTATCAATAAAACCTTGAGACAGGCTGCATATATGTGGAGTATAAAGCTGGAACCAGTGCTTTGTATAGTTGAGGAGTAACCAGAATAATAATAAAATGAAGAACCGTATAGAAACTTGGCTATTGTGTAATATGTCATAAATATTTCTGTAAGTTTCATTAAAAGTTACTATGAAATATATTTTGCTAAAGTCCTACTAATGCATTATGGAGAAGCAAATTTATGGATTATTGTGTTATTTAGGAATTATTATGCTATTCTTAGAAATTTTAACAGACTATGTTCTTAGGAAAATAATATCATGTTAAGATTTATTGTTTGATTAGGAATTTATTGGGATTTATCTAAGACTTTCATGTTTAATAAGGATTTATCCAGGATCTTTATATTTTTGGGTTATAAATAACCTTTAGGTACCATATGCATTTCGGACTTTTGCATAACTGATAACTGATATTTCGTTATTTCAGAGAGTATATGAAACTTGAGTTGAAGGAGCACTCTAGGTTTATCAGGGGAGTATATTCTATCAAGAGGACAACTCTTGGATTGCCCTACATCACCAACAAAATGAAATATTCTAGCATTAGAGTTGACTGGAAACGGTATGTACAGCGCATGGTGATAGATTCTTGGCTTTCAATCCATATTCATAAGCAAAGTCATTATTAACTAGACTGTTTGATCAATATTGTAACAGAATAGTTGCTTCACCTGAGCCCCCCACCCTGCACCAAATGTGGAGACGGCAGATGGTGGAGACCATGAACCATCTTCCCTACGTGCAACCACAAGTCCTGTTCCAATATTATAAGTAACCACCACTCCTACTTTGACCACAGTGATAATTGCAAGGCCTTTTGCTTGCCTTAGAATGAAATCTGGAATTGACTTCTCAGGCTTCAATAAACCTATCTGCAACAGCGAAATTCTTCATGAAGTAAAACTCATTTTGGCACATAAAATACATTTGCAGACTGCAACGGGTAGAATTCCACAACCATGCCATTTTTACATAAGTAATACCACTAAGAACTTAAACTTTTAATCTTGAAAATTACGAAATATGTCAAAGTGTCAACATCAAGCAATATACAGAGTTACCTAGACTAACATCTGTGTAAATATGATATCATGCCGTGACACACAATGAGATTTACTTTTTGGGGGGAGGGGGGAGAGAGAGAGAGAAAGAGAGAGTGTTATCACATGCAGTTGAATAGTGAGGGAGACAGGCAATCAGCATAGCTGCTGAATTTTTTATTGTCACCAAGTAATTACATAGCATCTCTGGCCAGCATTGTACTAGATTAACCTTTAAGCTATGTCACCACACCAGTTCTATAATAAAAGAGCCACTGGTACTGTGTATTTTTTAGAACAACACACTTTCCAAAAAAAAAAAAACTAAGAATCCTCAACAAAATAACAGGATTATTTTTCATTGCTTTTCTAGGTCAGATAATCATTGGAGAAGGTTCTTTATAGATATAAACCCCATAATAATTATAGCATGAATCATGAATGGCTTCAGCTCCAGCAGGAAAATTAGGGAAAATAAATAACTAAATAAAAAAAATATGAACCAATACCCGATTATAAGCTTTGATAGTGTTAGTTGCCTTGTAAATTTCATATTCCATGGACTGCCCCCAAGGAAAATTAACCCACGATCTCAGAGTGCTTAGGTCGGTCAGGTCGCGGGTTGGCAACTGAGCAGCATTACTTACATGATCCATCAAATGAGGCTGTACAGACTCAAGTCGGACACAGCATACATCGCAGACTCTTTGGGGATCAGAAACTCGGAACTTTGATGGCAACAAGCTCCTTCCTTTGGAGCATTCACCACAAAAAATTCCTCCACAAAACCGGCAGTGATGTCGGGAGCACATGATAGGATGAAACCTCACACCACAAAGCATACAAGAAGAAGCAGCACTATCTGCCAACCATTTTGGAGGTTCTGCTTCTAGTAGTTCCTTCACATTCCCAAAGTTGGCCTCTGTAAGAGTCTGTGCCATCTCTCTCCAAGCTTGTTCAAGTACATGGCTGGATATCCATGAAAAGCTACACGTATGAATATCTCCTGATGCCAAAGAAGTCATTTTCCCTCTAGCTACAAGTAACATTTCTGCTAGCACATCCCACATAGTCAATTCCCTTTCTTCTCCAACGTACTGATTCCATCCCATGTCATCATCAGGGAAATAGCCACCATTTGAATGAAAACCTTTGGCCCACTCTTTGTGATCATCTTCCAACATAGGTGGAACTGAAACTGGTATCCAAACTCCAGTATCTTCAAACAGTGGAGTATCATAATAGAAGTACTTTCCCTGCTTCTGACAATTACCTGAAGACTCCATGTTCTCTTTATTATTTTCCAATGGTTCTTCAGGTAATTCAGGATATAATCTGGATGAATTCATACTAAGCCCTTTATTGCCAGCAGTGGAAAAAGAATCAGAATACTCTTTAGTAACATGATTCCTCCTATTATCATCCACCTCATCATCCTGTCAATGATATCAAAGGCAAAGCACAATAAATCAACCACATAAACCATAGAGCACCTACAAACACCCAGTCTTAAAAAGGCAAAATCCATAAATTAATATTATTTAAAGTAATATAATATAATCAGATGTCTGCAAATAATCCATGAAATAGTTTCCTTAATCCACTTTCTCTTTCAGTTTCATATTTAAATGCAACAGCACACCAAATCACCGGGGGGGGGGGGGGGGGGGGAGGAAAGGAAAAGAAAGATATTCAAAGTCAAATTCCACAAACAACACAAAATCCAAAAAGTGAAGAAATTTCCAAATTCATCAAACATAACACACGCATATCTATTGAGGGAAAGAGGAGAAAATTTACCTGAAGAGAACCGGAATTGGATATCTGGTCCTTAAGGGAGAAACTAGAAACCCTTGTAGATAAATTTTCTACAACATGCACCTGATTATTAGAATCCAAATTTCTGTCCTCCATTGGTACACCTAAAACAAACACCAAAATAGGGCATATATATGTATATGCAGTATCTACATATATTATCAGTCAAAAAGAAAATTTTGCACTGAAAATTTCAATTTCGGGCCAAAAGAACGAAACTTTGAGAACGTAGACGAAAAAGGTCTGAGATAGAATTAGAATTAGAGCTTCAATTGCGTCTCATCATTGATGATTTCCCCAAGGTTTACGTCTCCCTTGCGTGCAGAACCTGAATATTCAACTTTCCTCTCGTCTCTTCGCTGTAGTTTTAATTTGGTATATATATGATTTTATTTGCTTATCAAATTCTTACGGAAAAATAATAATTTTATTTTTAGACAATTTTTAAATAATAATTAATATTAAATATTTAAAATAATACAATTTAATCCACATATGAGAAATTATTTTAAAATTTATTTTTAGGATTATTGTCGTAAACCTGTTATGGAGACTACAGTGATGAATAAAAATTAAATACAAATATAAATTAAAAAAAATTGTTTTAGTTAGGTTGGTTATATTGCATACACTTCAATCTTCATACTCTTATTACGTCTATCATCCATAGTTAGATAAAATTCAAATTAACCATTTCAAATACCACAAAATTAAATAAAAATAAGGAATTAGTATTTATCCTTTGATAGAATTATATTATTTTAATCAAAATTATAGTATTTTATAATGAGAAAAATAATTACACAATAGAAATTATGATAGAAGGAAGTAAGAAAAAAAAATTAAATATTAAATAAAAAATAATCATTTTAACTAAAAAAAATTGTGCTTTTTAAAAAAACAAACATTTTTTCATTAATTACACATCTCACGTCTTTATCTCTTCTTTCAAACACAACAAACTAAAAAAACTGTTACAGAAAGCCTGTTTATTTTAGATTTATCTCATCTGATTACTTTAAATTCTTCTGTATTTTCTCTGTCCGTTAATCTGTTTCTGTTTAATTTTTTTTTATTTTTGCTGGCTAGGCCCTCTACATATACCAAAAAAAAAAAGACAGTTACACTCTTGACCCTATACTTACTTTCTCTCTCTTTTTTCTCATTTAAGAACTATGTTCTTCTATCCTAGAAAAAGTACAATTAAGAAGCTCAAATGTAATAATATGCAATTTAAATGTTTGTAATATTTTAATTTAATAATAATTTTTTTTAAAAAGAAAAAGAAAAAAAAAAGAACGAAAGTGTAGGATAAAGAGTATAACATTTTTTTAGTTTGCTGGGCTTAGGAAGGAGAAGATACATGATATAAGAGAGGTACAGATGTGGAATCCATGGACATAATGTTTTATTTTATTTTATTTTATTGTATTTAAAATTATTAATTTGAATATAATTTAACGGTGAAAAAAATAATAAGAGTAGACAGATTTAAGTCATAGACAATATAATTCGCTCTTAATCTTTAGTATTTAATTTTATTATAATTTTAATAGATAGCATTATAATAAGAGTATATGATAAAAACTAAAATAATCAAATTAAAAATGAGTAAATATATTTTAACTTTTTAATTATTTTTTTAACATTCAAAACTGGAAACGATGTCGTTTTGTACTAGGAATTTAAAATTTATCAGATGAACAAGACAAACGCTTGCCGTGTTAAACGGCGTTTCTTGTGTTCAACGACGTACACCGGAGAAGGGTAGGAAAGAAAAAACGCGTTATATTATGCACAACCTCGTCAATATGCTTCAAACCTAAAATGGAAAGGAAACTTTTTCTATTGTGCGTGTCAGAAGAGCCTTTAGCAACTTCAAAGCTTTGAACTTTAACTCAAGCTCAGTTGGGTGCAAGCGAATTAAGTGTATCGGAAAAAATTTTGGTTCGATTTTCACCAATATTATATTGAGAAGTTACATAAAACTTTTGTACTCGAAATTAGTTCAAAGAACTAAAATTTGTGAAATACCTGCATGAGCCTGCTCGTAGTAAATAAATAATGGGCTCGTGGTTTCTCTTTTCGCTGTTGATGAAAAAAGTTGCAGCAAATTATTAACACTAGTATAATGAGTTGTATTTTGGCATAAAAAAAACACATCAGAATTCAGACACGTATCTTAAAAAAAAAAATGTTAATGTACTTTTTTCTATCTGCACTGACATGAGAAGAATATAACCCATAAATAATTTGGGTAGCTATAAGAAAAAAAAAGCTTTGAACTTTCATTTCATCCATGGCGTTCTCTCTCTTCATCCCCAATCAACCATCCACTTTGGTACCAATCCTCCTTCTTATTGTTCTCCTTCATGCTTTTCTCTGTCAACCCTCTCATGGGTTATCTAGATATGGCCGTGGAATTTCTGAGGATGGTTCAACTTTCCAGCGGGACACTCATCTCCCCAACAATTGTGGAGTGCTTGCGGTGCAGTCCCACTGTTCGCAGAACTCAAAGTGCAGCTGGTGTACAAGCCAGGACCTTGATGACATGTGCTTCACTAAATCCGAGGCATGGAGGTTGCCGCACCAGGTTTTCTCTTGCGGTTTGATCCGGTGAGATCCATTTTATTTTGCTCTTTTTGTATTTGGATCTGTGCTACCGAGATCATGCTATTTGTGTTGTACTTTCGCTTCTTCTTCTTCTTTTTTTAAGAAAAAAATCTCACTGTGTATGCAATCATGAATTGATAGAAGGTGTTGTTGTACTTGTATTTGATTGATGTTGTTTTATTGATTCAATCTATTATTTTTAAAGTTTGAAACATGGTTAGAATAGCAGAGACAAGAGGAGATGAATACATTTGATCTTTTGTTGTGTGTGTCATTTGGTCCCTGAGAAAGATTTTAAAATATTTGCCTTCAGTTCTGATGTTTTTTTTGCAAGCTACTGACTTTGCCAAAGCTTCATTAAATCTCATGAATTTTTCATCCGTTCAGCATCAAACCTGATGTTTAGCTGACAGTGCAAATGCTTCAATAAAATGTGCTAAATAATTTATCTGTTGTTTATCAGTTTATTTTGCTAGATTGGTGATGAGATAGTTACAGCACCACCCCCTTCGCCATTGGACCTTCCTCTCTTTTTCTTTTTTTGAGTTCTTAGAAGATTACTTTTCCATTATTACTAGATATGCTTCATGTCATTAGAAAGATTGTTGACAAACGTTTAAATTGATATTCTGGCCAGGAAAAGAAATTTGTATTTTTCGTTTCATTTTTACATTTTAGCAGGCTTACCTTATCAATTTTTGGAGGTGAATAATTCTGCTGTGCTGAGTGTGCATGGAACGACTGAAATTTGGGGGAGTTAAGTGGGGAGAAGGGGCGGTAGTAGTAACAGTCTGGATGCTATTTGCTAATCTATTAAGCTAGTATTATGTGCAAATGAATTGTCAATTTTCATACTAAATGAGTGGATGCTATTGTGTTAAATAAAACATGATATGATCATGTAGAAGAATAATAACCATACAAAAGTGATTAATGATAATAAAGGAAGAGAGAAAAATATATATTAAAATAGGTAATTACAAAATTAACACCATTGATTTATCTTTATATAGTTATGATTTTCCATATGAGCATGTCATAATTTATTTAACATGAAGGGATCCATTTCCACCGAGGCAACTAGGCTAGCACTTGACTACTACCTGTGCAGTTGAATCTGAGATGGATTGACCAAGATTAACATCAGTAATACATAATCCAGAAATGACAATAAAGGAAAGTCAGGTCTTTCATTTCCTTCTTGTGTAGTTGACAATGAACCATTATAACTTAGTTTACAATGAATCATCATAACTTTAAAGCCCAGTTTCATGATGATAAACAGAGTCGCGTCAATCAATATATGCAGTGCCTGAAATCTGCATTTTTGTGCCATCTGCCTAACAACCAAGTCTAAGTACTCTTTAAAGGCCCAATCTTTTCTTTTCTTTTTTGTAATAAAGGCCCAATCTTTGATGCTACGTATGTAATATATTCCTCTCCCTTGCTGTGTTTCTTGGAGAAATTCTAAGGTGCTCCATGAGCATGAGGTTCCTCTTGCTCTTTAGTCTTTACCATTGAATGTGTATTATTTCAGCGTAACATTAAAAATGTAGTTAAAAGTTGGAGAAAAGAATGGCTCACATAGTTGAGGTGCTATACATTTCATAGTACACCAGAAGCACTTAAGAATTTCTGGTGTTTCTTATGATCGACCTTCACCGAGCAATGTGCAATTTGACGAGCTTCATTTTCTATGTGATTATTTAAAGTTGATCATGAAATTTTCCATGCTACATGAATGTGCAATGCTTCAAACAATCAAACGTACTGATGAACAGAGAAGATGTAGTTTGCCTTTAAGGATCAACTTTCGTACGATCAGTGCTCAAAACGAGGGTGTACTTCTTCCTCCAAGAACACACTGGTGGTAAAGAATATGGTGGGAAAAGACTACGCCCAATTTCCAATAGAAAATTTTCTCTTTCCAGCGGATGGGGATGGGGGATTTTCATACAGAACAGGGGTGGCCTAGTGTTCCTTAACAAGTTATAATTTAGCTGTGGCCGATGTGAAAATGTGCTAAAAACCCATTTGGTGCCATCGTGTGACTTAGCCAAAATCTCAGTTCTGCAGTCAAAACATCTCTAGAATTTATTATGCCAATATCAATCCTGAAATTGTAGTTGATCAAGTTGGAAGATCTTTCGTGAATGTCTTATGATTGTATTTTTCTTAATCTCTATGCTGGAACCTAATTGTGCTTTCTGTTATAAGTGTGCGAATGAAATGTGCAATCTTCAATCCAAACACACAGCCAATCTCAAACCTGCATAATGAAAAGGAAAAGGGAAAAAATATATTGTCAGAAGAGTTTGTATGGTAATTCCGGCAGCTACCCTTATTTCCCGAAGAGTTGGATCATGGAATTGGAAACAGCCATTGTCGTTATAAGACAAAAATTCGACCTTGAATACGAGACATTCTGTTTGACAGACTGAAGCAGAAGGGAAGGCATTTCCTTCTGAACAAGGTGCAACCCCAAGATTGTGGTTGTTCACACCAATCTCTTGGTACTAAGAGGTACTGAGCGTTTGTGGTTGAACCTATTAAAAGGCATCTTGATAGATAAATACGGTTCTGGACTTCCCTTTCTTCACTAACTAAGCATCTTACTCCACCACTTTCTTTCAACTTCCTTTTATTACATATAACTATCCACTAAGCACACTGTTACCGCTAGTTACTTGCAAAACTACCAACTATGTACAGAAATTCTTAATGTACTTCATCTATATATGGCCCCCATAACAAAGGAGGGGAGAAATTCTTGATCATTCATAGATTCATAAGGCTTATCACCATGGTTATAAGCATTCACACTCACATATCTTGTGACTAGGTTCAACTATTTGCCATTCTTGAGGACTTTAAAATCTTTGAATCAAATCACAATATGGATTTTATTGTTAATCTATTTATAATGTAAAATCATTACAAATTATGTCCTTCAGTTTATTTAAAAACTAATAAATTTATTTATACCAAATCTTAAATATTGTAGTGATGTCATTTTTCTTGTTTGGTGGTAAGATTAAAACTTATCTGTTTGACATTGATATGTCTGAATGAAAAACATCAAAAGTTTTATCAAACACATTCCATGTAACCAACTATCCAATTTCTTTGTACATCCTTGGTGTATGAGCTTGTGTAAATGAAACTGTAGTTTCACAAATGAGGAGAATGGAATCGCTATACCACTTTGCCAGGCATTCCAAATTTGATGAAACTCTGAACATTTTCTTCTCCAAGAAAATTTCCAAATCTGATCTGAGTCAATCAAACTTGTCATTTCATTATTTCCATCAAGTAAACCCATACTGAAAGAAAAGTTTTAACTAACATAGCAATTGAATAATTAGTAATACAGAACATCATCCCTGTGTTCTTTTTTTGTCACTTGACATTGAACAAATCATTGTTCAACTAACCAAACATTTTGGAACAGACGGTAAGGAGTCTGGGCGTTTAATTAGAGGACTCGAGTTTGAGCCTCGCAAAGGAAAAATGAATTTAGGAGAGCTGCCCCGTAACGAGCACATATAATAAAGAGTTTGGACCCTTTAACCAGTCTTCGATTCAAGTCCTGAAAATGAAAAAAAAAAAAAGAATTTGGGAGAACGGTCCCTTTAATGAGATCCGATAAAATTACTCGAACCGAATGTAATCCGAAGAATGAATCTATTGAGAAACTAAAAAAAAAAAAATCATTGTTCAACTCACATAATTTTTTTATTTTTTTCACCATAACAACTCACATGAACTTTCTAACATTGTGCTTGCACCGTAAAGTAGTTCTTCACAGCATCCCTCATATCATCAAAGCAATCAGTTCCATCAAAAAACCTTCTCAACTTCCAAAGCTCCCGGTCGCAAGGATCATCAACAAAGGCCTGAATCAGAATCGCATTCTCGGGTTGATTCGCGAACGAATTCGGGTTATCATCAACAATGACGACCCGTTTCAAATCCCGACCAATCTCCGACAAGTCCTTCACCAGCTTCCCATCCACTTGGCGGCACGAGTCACGGTAAAGACGGTGCGAGATGAACCGGTTCCGGTCGAGCCGGTCCAGTACCAAGGACGCGTACTCCTTGATCGCGGCGGTGAACACAACCACCTCGAACTTCGCCGCCAGCGATTGCAAGAACTCGTCGACCCCCGGCCTCTTCAGCACGTAGAAATCCATGGGCTCGCCGTCGATGACCGGCCGGACGACGAAGTCGAAGCGGTCTGGCGGCGGCGTAGCCATGGAATGGATGAGGGTCTCGTCGAGGTCGAGGATGACGGTTCTCCGGTTGGAGAGGGAAGGTGGAAGGAGTGAGAGGGTGGTGGTGTCGAAGACTAGGGTTCGGCAAATGTCGTTGAGGGATTCTCGTTCCTCATCGCAACGGAAATGGGTGGTTGTTTTCTTGAGGATCTTGTAGCTTGTTCTGTTTTTGTGAGTGGTGCTGAGGCGTGTCAATTTGGAGAAGAGTTTCGTGATGCGGCGGTGGATGGAGGAGAGGACGGCGGAGGAAGCCGCCACCACTTTTTTAATTGGAGATTTCCGCCGCGAACGGCGGATGCTCCGGATTGATTTGATTGGGGTTTTCTTCACCTTTGAAACCATTGCTTGGATTTCTTGGATTTGGATATCAGAAACAGAGAGAGAGAGAGAGAGAGAGAGAGAGAGAAAGCAGAGGATGTGCTTTGCGCTTAGTTCAGGGCAATTTTAAGTTTAGGTATTGTACAACGGTCACCAGCAGCTTCGGAACCGAAGCTAAATTCTTGCCTTTGGTATATCCTTTTGATTTGTTAATTGACAGCTGTCAGTGTTATGCTCTTGCAATTGCAACTGTTTATGTGTCATCTGCTTATCTTCGGTTTCCAGAAGTTTGTTTATTTGTTATCTTCTTCTTTTTTCCTTGAAATTTATTAAGAATATGAAGAAGAAAAAAACAAACTTTTAAGTTATAAGAGCTGATTTTGTTAATAATGGAGTTTTAATAGTATATAAATTAGTTCTGAATTTTAAAAAACTACTTAAAAAAAATTATCCTAAATGTATATTTTTGTTCTCTTAATTTAAATATATATATATATATATATATATATATATTTATGAAAAATGATTCGTTTACAAATTTTTGCAAATTATACTATGTACTCTCGAGAGAACGTAGTATAACCTAGTGTTCTCCCGGGAAAACATAATATAGGGTGTAAGAGTTTATAAACAAAATATTTGTAAATGTAACCCTCTCCTATATATATATATATATATATATATATATATATATATATATATATATATATATATATATATATATGAAGTAGGATCCTTTGACACCTCATCTGATAGTCATTAGATCAAAAAAGATCAACGACTCTGATTTGTAAACATGTGACACCATTGATCTTTTTTTATCTAATGACTCTCAGATGAGGTGTTAAATTTGAAACTTGACACTGGTGTCAAAAGATCCTACCTCATATATATATATATTAAGGGACAAATGTTTGTCATTTTAAATGACATAAAGATATGTCATTTTAAGAGAGAGATAGACACAAAATAATATTTTTTTATTTAAAATTTAAATTAAAAAAATCACTCACTTTCTTCACATGATTTATGTTCCCTTGTGTCTATCTCTCTCCTAAAATGACATAATTTATGTTATTTAAAATGACAAACATCACACTCATATATTAAACACAATATTTTAAAAATCGAACCAGACCCTCCAATAGAATCAATCAGATTATGAAGCAGTTATTTATGTTTTCGGTTCCATTAATTGCTTCTTATTTCATTTTTCAATTTAATTACGATTCGACCACAAATTATTTTTGTTAAAGCAATCAAAATTAATTATGGGAGAGGTTATACTTACTACTTCTTCTTTTTTTTATTACATCTTACTATCAAATCTTAATCGTTGATTTTCATCAATCTAACAGTTATAATTTATTGAAAATTAATAATTAATTAATAAATATGACCCAATAAATTACAACCGTTAGATTGCTGGAAATCAACATTTAAGATTTAATAGTAGGAAGAAGTAAGAAAAAGAGGTAGTAACTATAACGTTGAATTTAACTATTAACTATGTCACAGTTTCAAATTTGAGTTTTGAAATATTAAATGAAAATGGATTTAAACTTAAATTCAAGTGCCTAATTGAATATTAGATTATATTTTTTTAATTTCTATTCATTTCAAAAATTGTTTGCAATCTCTCTAATTCTTTATCTTTTTACATAAGCATTATTTGAATACTTGAGCTTATTTAAATTTACACTTTGCATACTACTTGCTTGTATTAATTTCTACTGTTTAAACTTTGCTTGTGTAAAAATTATATTAACTCAAGAAAATCTTTTTCAAGAAAGAAAGTGAGGCATTTTGCAAAAATATTTTTAAAACTCAATTCACCTTATGTCGCAATTGTCTTTCCCATGCAAATTACGTCACAGTTTGCAAGGGAATTTTTTCCTCACAAATTTTCCTCGCTATTCGCGACTTTTCTAGTAGTGCCCCCTCTTGAGTTTGAGGTAACTTGTCCAACACAATTTAACTATAAAATAATATACAATCTTCATATTATGCATGGCATTAAAATCATCAACAATTGAAACAAGTCATACAATTTTGGAATTGAATCAACTCAGAAATTTAACCATTCCGGTCATCAACATATATATCATACTTTAATACCAAAATTCAAACAATTTGTGAGCAATTACCGGACTTAAGATTTCACATTCAATCTTGATTCCATCAACATCACAAAATGTGTTTATGATAACACAACTTGTTTAAGAATCATACTAAACCACAAAAACAAAAGCTTTGTCAAAGTCATTAGAATTACTTTGACTGAAACATCACTAAGATAGCTCTTTAAAATTCATATATTATTAAATATTTCACTAGATATAAGACTTTTATACCCATCAAAGCACATAGTGCATTTTAGGCAAGGATTATCATTTGCCTAAATCATAAAGTCAAAATTACACATATCTAACTATATTATGTATAAAAACCAATGCATATCACTTTTAAATTTTAAAGGAACAGTTGCAATGTTCATAACCGTCAATAACAAAACTGTGATGGTGAATGCTCTTTAGGGCTTCAGAGTACTCTACGATGCAATTTGGCTAAGATGGTGCCTTGTGTAGCATTGTTCAGTTATATATAAGGCTCCTTAAGATGATTATTGTAAAAGAAGAATATACCCAGAACGGTTATCTTGCAGGCGATGAATGTGAGTGTGGAAGATGAGATACATGATCATAGATCACAGACCCACGTTCCGGGCTGACGAGCTTATGCCTTAGTCGGGTCAACCTCCTCAGGTGAGAGGCCCAACTCTAGAGCGGGTTAGCTAGGATTCTGCCTGGCTTAATGTTTCAAACTCATCACTTCCATCCTTGTGATGGATGACACACTAGCTATAATGCGAGAATTTATTATGTTCAAACTTGAAAATCAATGGTATGAGTGATAGAATATTGAGACACGTAAAAAATATTGAAAAAGGAATACTATATTTCTTCAACACATCAAGCCTATTAATAGGCAACATAAAAAACTGAAAGTACTAATCAAGAGTCTCATAACACCCTCATAACACTACTAATTAACTACTCATAATGTCATAACGTCAGTCATTATATCCCTAATAAACATAATAATTTAACTTCATAACTCACATAAGAAAAACCAAAAGACAATTAACTCTTCAATATTGTAACTGACACAAGAAACTAAAACATTCCCTCCCTTGAACTGATGTTTGCTAACAGTCAATTTAAAGTATACAGACACCTAATAATCTTCTTAACTTCACAAATGACTCCATCTTGAGAGCTTTAGTGAAAATATCAGCAATCTGGTCTTCACTCCTGATTGTATCATGTCTCGCAACAGGAGAAAAAACTTCTGTATAATCAATCCCATATTGTTCCTTGTACCCTTGACAACCAAGCGTGCTTTGTGCTTGTCAATTTCACCATTTTCCTTTAACTTTGTTTTGAACACTCACTTCACACTAATAGTTTTGTGTCCATTTGGAAGATCAGTTAACTCCCAAGTATCATTCCTCTCAATTGCATCAATTTCAGCATCCATTGCTTTTGGCCATTTTTCTTCTTTGACAGCACTCTCAAAAGTCACGGGATCACATTCTAAAAACAAAGTAAAGTGAGTAATTGGATCTTCAATTCCAGTTACCTCATAATCTTCCATCCAAGCAGGCCTTCTTCTAACACGACGAAGAGATTGAGTTCCTTCTTCGTTAACTCCAACTACTGTTGGTGAGGATTGACTAGCTGAAGAAGTTGCAATGGACGAATTTTCAGGCATACTAGATGCTGAAATTTGTTCTTGTTCAGAATCAATATCACAAAGAACTTGGGTAGGCTGCTGCATATTCCAATCCCAAGTGTTTTCTTCATCAAAAACAACATCCCTGCTAACCACAATTTTTTTTGTCAGTGGATTAAATAATTTATATGCTTTAGATGTATCACTTACAAGTTACACCTAGAAAGACATATTTTTCAGCCTTGTCATCAAGTTTTTTCCTTTTATGATCTGGGACATGAGCATATACAATGCATCCAAAAATTCTAAAGTGATCCACATTTGGTTTTCTCCCACTCCAAGCCTCTTCTAGCGTCATATTTCGAACTGCAAAGGTTGGACTTCTGTTCAAGACATGAATGCACCAGTTTACTGCTTCTGGCCAAAACGTCTTTGGAACTCTTCCTCTTGCCAACAAGCTTCTAACCATGTTGAGGATGGTTCTATTCTTCCTCTCTGATACACCATTTTGTTGTGGTGTATACGCAGTTGTAAGCTCTTTTCGGATGCCATGTTCTTCACAAAAAGCTTCAAATTCTTTTGAGCAATATTCACCACCACGATCTGTGCGAAGTGTCTGAATCATCCTTCCTGTCTCATTCTCCACACGAGCTCTGAAATTTTTAAATGTAGAGAAAGCTTCTGACTTTTCCTATAAAAAATAAACCCACATTTTTCTAGAAAAATCACCAATGAAGGTGATTAAATAATTTTTACCTCCATTAGAAATTAGATTTATTGGACCACAAATGTCTGAATGCACCAATTGCAAAATTCCCTTTGCTTTCCATGAGTTCCCTTTTGCAAATTCAGAACGATTTTGTTTGCTAACAACACATTCTTCACATACTAAGGAATGAGGAATTGTGATTTGAGGGAGGCCTGTCACCATATTTTTCTGTTGGAGCATCTTCAACCCACCAAAGCTCAAATGGTCATAGCGAAAATGCCACAACCATGAAGGATCTTTCATTTCAGCCATTAAACTAGATTGGATTCCTTCAATCTTTAATGGAAACAATCTGTTTGAACTCATCTGAATAACAACAATAACACCTCTAACAGAATCATATATTTCACAAACACCATTTTTAATAGTGAGCACATAACCCTTTTCTTGTAATTGGCCACCACTCAATAAATTACTTTTCAAATCAGGAACATACAATACATTAGATATTGTTTCACAAAACCATTCTTGGTTTTTATTTTAATGTCACATTTTCCCATTACTTTCACAATAAAATGATCA